AGATACATACTATATATAATATATATCATCAATAAACTATACACATACATGTATATGATAAACTGTTGGGTGTTTGTATGCAGAGATGGATGTGAGAAAAAAAATTATTTGTATGTCTGTATACAGAACAAGAGATAAGATACATATATTAGATATATGTTTCTGTATCAAAAACCGAGATAAGATACATAATGTATATATGTAAGATAAATGTGTGTGTGCTACTCAGACAAAAGGGTGAAAAATAAAACGATAAAAGTGTGAAAATGTAAATGTAAAAAAACCCTCCAGACCACTTGTCTTTTGTTTTTGGTTACTTTATGTTTGTGTCTTTATATAAACAGAAATATATATATCTATGTGCGTGTGTGTGTGTGCATACATGTTTATGTGTATATATGGATATGTACATGTGTGTGTCTTTGTATAAAGAGATATCTTTAAATGTAGATACATTATATCATACACATACATTTAGGTAAATTTATATCTATCTTTTGCTGTTTATGCACTTTCTGACCTAAATATATATTACAAATTATATAAATTATTATTAATCTTATTAATTTACTAACCAATAATAACCCATATAATAATAATAATAATAATAACGATAAAAACATTAATATAATAGTGATAATACCCAAACCGAACTCCCTTGGTAAACAAACACAGCCATATTGGATGAACGTTTTCTGCGTTTTTTTTATTATACAAAAAAAAAGCATTCTAAGTTAAATTAAATATTTAAGTAAACTCATATGTACATGAATTAAAAATACAAGTCAACGTTAAAATATACCAAGCGTGTTTTGAGTGTCGATTTACTAAACACATTCCCAGGATCGCGAACCATCTCCACTACCTCTGAACTACACAGTCACCAAATGGCAGGCAGCAGCGACGACAGGGTTAATTAGGCTACACCATTCAGAAAGAAAATGCATTCTTTATTCAATGACAACAAAAATAAAAATTGAATATACAAAAAAAGTAAGAGAGTGCGAATACAATATTTCACAATTCGTTCCCGGAACTGGGTGGAAAAAAACAACTTTTTTTTTTCTGTTCAATGAGACAAAACAAAAAAATTAAATCGACAATGAGTGTCCCCCTTGCCTATATCCTTCCTGTACAGTATGGATAGACGTTCTATACCATCTAAGTGCCTACAGGAGCCTCCTCTGACACCACAGCCAGCCAGAGATGGAGGTCTGCACTGCTCAGCACTGGTTTATGACTAATTATTTTGATATCTGGATATAAGCATACAATAATCTATATGTACAGGATTTCCCTTCACATATAAGTCCCGCAGGACCCCTGTGTTCAGTAGTGAGGAGAGTCACTTAGCTGCATGAGAAGGTCTCATCTTGGTGTGAAGGTCTCATCTCGGTGTGACAACCCTGAGAGGTACAGTAAGTGTCCTTAGCTTATAGTATCTACAGCCATTAATACTGTCCAGTCACAGCAAAGTCCTTCTCCAAGGAGCTTCTAGGAGACGCTATAGCTGTTGTAATATGTAGCTGTGGCATCTGCCAGCACAGATATCAGGCTGGTCTCCTGGGGTGGTTGAAGGTCTACAGACTGAGACACCTGAACATGTCCACTGACTGTCATTTCACTTGGCTCTCCCATGGACGTGTTTAGGTACTGGTCAAACTCATTCCTGTCCATTTCCTCCAGAAGTTCGGCCTGGCTGATGTGCTCAATGGTGTCATAGTGGGGGTGATCAGGTGGTGGTGACAGCTGGCCAAGGTGACCATGAACCTGGTAGCTATGGTGGTGCATAGTAGGGTAGCCCGGGCTGAAGTAGCCTGGGGGACAGTTGGGGGGAATCATTGGTGGTCCATGCTGGCCAAGGGGCATTTGGCTTAGGTGACTGCACAGGATGGGGCTTCGGGAGTACTCAGGTGGGTAGCTAGTGGCATTCAGGTGAGGGTGGTGGTCTTCAGGGCACGAAGAAGGGTAGAAGCTCTGCTCTTGGTCAATGACCTCTAACGGGGACATCTCTGGTGGGGTGGGGAGGCCATAGGGGTAGGTCTGTTCATGTTTGCTGATGCTGTTCTGAGAATCTCTGTAACCTCTGATATCCTGCAGAGATGATCCAGAAGAGTAGACCCCACTGTCCTCCTTATCTCCAGATGTCCTGCAGCTTCTGCTGTCCGGCACTGAGTTCTGGTCCCTGGAGAGGCTGCTGAGCAGGAAGCCAGTGTCCACCCTCTTACAGATCCTCTTGATCTGCTTCTTCCTTCTGGGTCTGTACTTGTAGTTGGGGTAATCCTGCATGTGCTGGACTCTCAGCCTCTCAGCCTCCTCCACATAGGGCTTCTTCTGGGATGGGGACAAGGCCTTCCAGGATTTCCCTGCACATCAAACAGGACACAGAAAAAAAAAAAACAGTCATTACAATGCAGGATGTAGCTTGGAGGATGTACAGATCAGCAGAGCAGGTGTCAGGTCATAGGAAACCGACTTATTTTATTTATAGCAAACGACCACAGAGATACCAACATTTCCTGAGACCCTAAAAAACACAATTATTTCATGCATCCCTTATACAAATCTGTATTTGTATTAATCACCGCTTAGGTGATAGTGATATTTATCAATTAGTAGCTGATGGGTTTCAATCGGTAGATCGTAAATTGTGACGCTACAAAGCATCAAAAGTACACAAAAAGTATCAGAACACCTTCTGTGTCCAACTGTCACTGTTACCATGGAGACAAAAACTGACTGACATGTCCCTGTTTCCACATCCGACCAATCACCATGTGATCTGTTGTGTCCGATAATTGTATGTTATGTTATCTGTCCGGCTGTACGAAATACTTTACGTTCGTTAATCTTTCACTTTATTTTATAAACATAATATTACATTTATAATAATACAAATATATATTAAATTGTTTTCCTAAA